TTCATAAATGTCATGTAAATATGTACATATCTCGCCATACTGTTTAACATTAAAAAACCTATTTGATTTGCAGACACGTGGCCAAGTGGGACTGTGCCGAGTCCTTCGTAAATATTTAACTTGACCACGTGCATGCATATTGATTATTTATTTTCAAGCATTAATTGACAAATTTTTCGTACCTAAATACGGTTAGGCGTGGGAGTTGCTTTCTCATTAGAGGTGAGTCGGGCTTGGGCTTTAATCGGGCTAGCCCGAGCCCGCCCAGGCCCAACGGGCTTTGGGCGGGCCGGGCTTTTGAGTTTGGCGTTTGAGTCGGGCCGGGCCTGGGCGGGCTTTACACGAGTAGGGCTTGGGCGGGCCCGGGCTTTTGAGTTGAGCCCATGAGTCTTTACTGTTTACTGTTTACTGTTTACTGGAGTTTATTAAAATGTCGCAAATCATCAGAAAAAATCTGCTTTTCAGATCAAGACACATACAATAATGAATTCATCTAAACTACACTAATAACTACAACAAAATCATGGTTGCACATCTTGGTCACAATTCTGACCAGTGACAAAGTCACGTGCTTTTGATTGAAACAAACCATAAGACATATTACGTAATTCCCAGGCCTTTGGTAACGTATTCCAAATACGGTATCTTCTATACGTCAACGAGCGTTTAAAAGCTTCTGTCCTATGAATAGGCGCACACATATTAGGTCGGTTATAACTAATAGATCTCTCGGAAAAGGTTAACTTATCGAGTTTATAAAGTTTATACGCGTTCTTAAGTAATACATAATTAGACCTTTCCTCAACAGTAAGTAAATTATTATCTGTTCTGAATTTTTTAACATCAATTCCTTTTTTAACATTAATAAGTGAACGCTTTCTTGTAGAGTATGATTTCGCAAGCTTTGGGAAGTAGTAACTTAACAAAAAATTATCAATAATATCTTGTACTTTCTTAAGAGAAAGAGAAGTTTGTACAGTCCAGATGTCAATACAATAATCAATAACAGAGTGGACTTGAGTATTAATCAAAACCTTCATAGCCTGTTCATTTATGGAACGCTTCAGACTATGCAGCAATTTTATGCGTTGACACACTTTAACATAGAGATGATCATAGTGTAACTTAAAGTTAAGACTAGGATCTAATACAAGGCCAAGATATTTGAAAGAGAACACACGCTCGATTAACTTATCATTATCAACAATAATTGAATTTACAGTTGATTTTAAAGGAACTCTCTCATTATGAAAATACATACATTTTGTTTTGTCAAAATTTACATTAAGATCATTAAGTAAACACCAATCACAAAAGGATTGCAAACATTGTTGTAATTTCAAAGCAATTAAGTTAATATCGTAAGAACCAAAATAAATAATATCATCAGCATAACATAAAAATTGTAGCTCCAGTGAGGGTTTTACGTCGTCGAGGAATGCAGAAAAAAGAATTGAACCCAAAATTGAACCTTGACCTACGCCCGTATTAATACAATAAACATCATCACCAGATACAAATTTGTAAGTTCTATTCTCAAGAGTACAATAAATCAGTTTAACTAGTCGTTTGCTTAATTTAAAATTGGATAACAATTTTCGAACCAGTTTGTCATGTGAAATACTAGGGAAAGCATCCTTAAGATCAATGAAAACTGCTCCCACAATACCGTTCTTCTTGTCAAGTTCAGAGTAGGTGAAAGTGGTGAAAGCACTAATCGCAGAGTGACACGATTTGTTGCTACGATAGGCATGCTGTTCATCTATTAATTTAGCATCTATTCTATCTTTTATCCTATGATATAGGTACCTCTCAAATAATTTACAGTAGGAATTAAGGATAACAATCGGTCTGTAATTCTTGGGCACATTACGCGGTCCCTTGCCCTTATACAATGGTAAGATAATAGAATGTTTAAAAAGAGTAGGTACATACAGAATATGTAAAAGGTGGCTAAACAGGACAGCAAGTTGGATACTAAACGAATTAACACATCTCTTCATTAACCACAAATATTGTCGTTTTTGTTCTTATTTTTAGTGTCTGAAATCAGTTGTGAAATATCATCAGGATTAATTGACAATTCAACATCATCATCATTATTAATATAATTATTAATTAAGTTACGTGTTACAGAGTGATCAAGGTCAGAGTCAGGCTTGAAAAGTTTTTTAGATAACAAAGTATTAATCTGTGATATTTCAGTAACAATAGTGGCATCATCATCTACAAGAGAAGTTATTTTAGTACATTGTTTACGTCTAAAATTAGTTAATTCATCAATAGTATTCCACAAAGATTCAGACTCTAGTTTAGTACCAAACTTTTCTTTAAAATACGTATTTTTTTCAGTATTCACCATTCGTGCTGCCTCATTACGAGCAATTCTGTAAGATTTCAAATCACCATTACTTTTGGCCTCCTCGCGAAGGTAATTGCGAAGTTTGCATGCTTTTTTTACTTCATCACTAAACCATTTGCATTTTTTCATTTTGACAAGTCTACGTTTAAGAGGAGAAATTTTGTCTAAATGAGACATTACATGATTATTGAATCTTATTACTTCAAGGTCACAAGTATTTGACAGATTGTTTTCAAAATTAAAGTTAAAATTCATAAGGTGTTTTTCAAAATCAGACCAATCAACGTCTTTCAAGGATCTAGCTAAACATTGAATAGGGGGCAGGCAAACTTTACCTAAATTTCGTACCACGAAACAAAGATCATGATCCGAACCAGCGAAAGAGAAATGACCAGAAAAAGGATAGTTCGATTTATCAGTTACGTACACGTGGTCGAGAAGAGATTTTCCTTGAAAGGTCGGTCCTACAATCATTTGCCACAGATTGAAAGATTTGCACAGTAGGAAAAGTTTATGTACTTCAGAATCAAACGTGTCCTTGAAGTGTAATAGATTGAAATTAAAGTCACCCATAAATAGTTTTTCAAACTTAAAATTACTTAGAAACAGTAGAAGTTCAGTAAATGAGACAAGAAACTTGTCCTTAGAAGAGTCAGGATGTCTATAAACAACAACAACAATTATTGGTTTGACAAACTTTCTGAAGACTTTAACTATTTGGATTTCAACTAGATTCGGGAACTTAATATTACATTCAATTAATTCGAAGCTAAACAAGTCATGAATGTATATCATAATTCCACCACCAGACTTTTTAATATTCGAAATTCTATCCTCTCGAATCATTTGATAGTTTGGAATTGCAAACATATTCAAAGGAATGCTACCTATATCAAGTCTTGATTCTGTACAAGCAAAAAATGCTACATTGTAAGTTTGGAGTAGATTGAAAACCTCAGTAAACTTGGATCTTAAACCATTAATATTAGTATGTATATATATAGATTTATTTTGAATTTTGAATTTATACTTGCTGTTTCCAAACGGTGACGAAGTTGCAGAGTAACGATGATGATCGATGAGACGTCGACGAGTGTCACATGAGCGTTGAGTCGAAACAGGAAGTTGAGTGGAAACCGGAAGTTGAGTCAAAAAGTGGAACGGAAGTTGTTGAAGAAGGAGTGGCTGAGTCCCAGCAGATTGTATTGAAATATCTTGCGATGCAGCAGGAACGGGAACAGGAAGTGGAACTTTTTTTGATCGCGTTTGAACCGGCATAGTGGATAAGTATTTTCCACATTATTTTGTCCTTCAGCTGATGTGGAGTTGGGTTGGCCGAGTTATTGGCTTTTAATACACATAAAACCAAGACGAACAAGGATCAGTTTCAGAATATCGTACAAATCATAGCCATTCATAATGTATGTAAATGGGAATAATCAAGTGACATAAAAGTTCTCGCCTTTTCAAGGCACGATAAGTGCTACAGATCGCCCAGTCCGCAGACAACCACAGGGTCTTAAATTCCGACCCTGCACTTGGGGACGTAGAGAACGATCCGTTATACGTCAGACTTCACCTCAGTTGGATTGTTAGAACATCGGATGGATAGGTATTGGAGCAGTCCACATTGTAGAACAGGGGAAGTAAGGTTGTTGCGAGATTAACAAATCGCCCAGCACGGTCAGCAAGGGTCGAAATATAAAAAAATCATCTACCACTATACTATGTGGTCAAATGTTAAGATGAAGTCACAAATTTAAAAAGCAGAAGTAACAAAAAACTCACAAAAATTAGAAAAAACAGTTTAATTTTGAGAGAGAGAAGAAAAAAACACGTGTGCTCTCTATCACGATTGTAAGAGAGTCGGGTCGGGCCTGGGCGGGCTTTTCTTGAATCGGGCTCGGGCTTTACTCAAAAGCCCGACTAATATTTTTCGTGGAGTTAGGAGTAATATGAGACAATCATAAAGTTTGTTCAAAAGCGCACATTGCATTTTATATTTCCAATTCACAATTCATTAGTGTACTGATGAAAGTTGAAACGTTGGGGTTACCGAGTCTGGACAATGGCGAAATAGCTGACTTGTGGAATAGACATCACGACCTCAACATGAAAATAATTTCGTACAGAAAGGACGATAAGGACCTGGGATATTATAGTAAAAAGGTGTTTGTATTTCTTAATGTTATGTTGAGATTCTCGAGAATTTATAACACTGTAATAAATACTCGTACTTTATTTTTGTTTAGCGACAGGAAGGCAGCTTTAATTCAACTGAGCAAAAAGAACCTCTCCATTTCAAGTACGAGGATTTCAAGAAAATACGACAAGATATTTTTGACTATTCAAATAAGTTGACTTTGAGATGTGCTAATGCCAAAGCCTCAGCTTCAGTTTTCTGGCAGATGAAGTCAAAGTTCGAGGAGTTATTGAAAAATGTTCGTGATCTTTTGGGGCGCCCCATCAATGTCGAAGTTCTCGAATCTGTTAAAGATCTCCACGAGAAAATCCGGAAAAGTTTAGGATCTGCGATTAGGGAGAGCAGAAATTTAAGAAATATTTGTCGTGAGCAAGACGTTCACAATCTCCTGAAACTTATTAAGCAACTACAAATTCGGGAGCAACGACTTGGCGACAGGGTTAAAGAAAAGGCTGCTGAACTGACGACCCTTGCACTAAAGCAGGAAATTGCTCAGCGGTGCGGCCCAATGATGGAAGAAATGAAAAGGGTGAAAAAATTGTTTGTTTAAAAGTTGTTTGTTTAAAACTTTTAAAATTCTCATTTTGTATATATTTTTACTTTAGGTTTTGTGCACGTTATGCGAAGACGGGGACAAAGAGTGGGCTTTAAAATGTGGCCATATGTACTGCACTAAATGCATTTCCAGCCTTGAAAGTAACAGAGCTACAGAAGGAATTCCTTGGGTGGACGAAATTACTGGAGAGGTCCTAGTGACCTATTATGTATCGCTGCCAAAAGAATGCGCATTTTGTAAAGGGTCCCTTGAAGACAAGATCAAGTTGTACTTTTAGATTGGGGCGCCCCACTAATTTATTCGATTCAACATTTATTTCAATAAATGTTTAAATAATATTAATAATAATATATTAAGGTGTGTATTGAATTCGTTAATTCTAACATTGATTGTCCTTTGTTATGTATCGTAATATATGAACTGTTGTTTTTACAATAAAACCAATCTTAAGATTCCCCACCATTTACGCGGAATGTTTATTTATGAACACCGCCTGAAAATTAATTGGCGAGTGATTGGCGAGTGATAAAATTCAATCGCTAGTTTTCCAACTGAATATTCTTCTCGCCTATTTGCCTTTTTTCTGGAATTGTAGCTGGCATAAATTAATCACCAAACGGTAAGTATATCGGGGCGCCCCATTTATATCAGGCCTAGTAAATACTGTCGAAAATTAACGATTTTGAATAACTGTAGAAATGGACAGCGTAGAATATGCAGACGTCAGTGGGCAAGAAGACGATAGTGCCACCGATAGCAGTCAATCTTCATGTAGTCAGGAAACAAGTAATAGTAATGCAACCCAATTGTCGAAAGAAGATATTCAAAGACTGATTTCCCAAAAGAGTTCAAGAGTTGAGTTTAAAGATAAAGAATCCAGATCGAAAGCTCCTTCAGAAGTGTGGTCATCTTTTAAGATTGTCTTCGTCGACGGTGCCATGGTTGATTACGTTAAGTGTCTAAAATGTTGCGCAATATTAAAGTATAAAGCACTTTCCGGGACAAGTACCCTTCGACGACATGGACTTTTCTGCGGCGCCGCAACAATTTCTCAGCCTGACAAATGTAAAAATGCGGATACGGTGGATAGTGGCATTGCGAAATTTTTGGTGAAGCAAATCCCAAACTCATACCTCCAAAAACTTAACGATTCAATTTTGGTGGGACTCGCCAGAGACCTTCGACCCTTAGGTACAACAGAACGCCTTGGATTTAAATTCATTGCACAAAGTTTAATTGACTTTGGGGCTAAATTTGGACACCATGATGTTGATGACATTTTTCGACATCGTACGACTTTGAAAAAGGAGAATCTCCCTCGACTAGTTGGCCAGATACAGTCAAAAATTAAGTCATGCCTTGATGCGGCGCCGCAAAATCCAGCTTTTGCTTTTACCTGACATGTGGTCGGACAAATACACGCAAAGACACTTTTTGTCGTTGACAATTCATTATATTAACGCCGATTGGAAGCTTGTGCATCATCTGCTCGCAGTGGACGAATTTTTAGGCGAAAGAAAAACTGCCGACAATATTCGGGATGAGTGCGCAAGAATTCTTCGAAGTTTTTTTGACACTGAAGAAGTATCTTCTATAATGAAGAACTCTTGGATGGTGACAGATGGTGGCTCCAATATGCAAAAAGTATTTGAAAATCGTCATTGTCACAAAATCAATCTTGCAATCCACTGGTTGTTTAATGACAAGAAAACCGGGGTCGACCCTGAGAAGGAGAAGCCGAACAGTGCCAAAAAACTCTTCGTCTTATCGACAAAATGTCCACAAATTAAGGGCGCCCTACATGGAGTAAAAGATGTTGTCGCATACTTCAAAAGAGCTGGATTAAACTCTAAATTGCCGTACTCATTGAAGCAAGATGTCCAAACCCGATGGAATAGTGAGCTAATAATGTTGGAGTCATACCTTAAATCTGCACAAGAAGTACAGCAAATATTATTAGAAAAGGGCAAGCTTCAAAAGCTTTCAAGCATTGATATTAGCATTGTTCAAGAACTTGTGGGTTTTCTGAAGCCATTTTTGGAGTGCTCCGCCAGTCTCAGTGGTGATAAGTATCCACCTATTCATCTCGTCGCACCGTGGTTTTTAAAATTACGCCGACATCTCCAAGAGGACGAAAATGACTCTGCTGAAATACGACTGCTTAAACAGCAGGGGCACATTTGCTTGCAGGAATATATGAAGATCGACAGTTTCCTATGGACTGCGTGTCTATTGAACCCAAGGTGTGAAAATTTAGTATTTTTTTCGTTTATAGGGCGCCCTAAAATTGTAATATACTAAGTTTATTTAAATTAAAATTGTTTGAGTTATAGATATAAAACACTCAAAGGTGCTACCGACGAGGAACGGAAGGACGCTTACGACAGGATGAAGATACTCATGATATCGCTGGCGCAGGCTGTAGGAACTGCTGGTCGTGATTCAGTTGAAAGTATTGTTGGTAAAAGTTCACCCATTGCTAATAAGGGAAAATTTGCTGAGTTCGAAGACTCGTCAGACGAGGAATTAGATGATGACCCAGAAGTAGTTGCTAAGAAAGAGCTTGACTCCTACCTTGCAATGAAATATAAAGTTCTTGGTATGCACTAGACCTGGTTTAATTTTTGGACTTAAATGGTGTTAAATGTTCTCGGGTGTAATTATTTCTTATATTGTTCACAGATTATAATGATGAAGGTCAGCATATCCTGAAATTTTGGTGTGGCGCCACACAATTTCCACTGATGCAGAAAATTGCTCAAAGGATATTATCCATCCCCGCATCACAAGCTAGCGATGAGAGAGTATTTTCAAGCACTGGTTTGACCTTGACCGCCCGTCGCACTGAACTCAGCGGCAGTACTTTATCAAACCTGACATTTGTTCATAAAAACTACGACTTGTTTTTTTAGTGAACATTATTGACCTTAACAGCATTGGGTTAATTTATTCTGTACCCTGTGAAAATAATTTAGTGAATACTAAACCTTTAGAATTTGTTTGTTGAATATTTTGGACTACTTCATTTATCAATTCATGATTCATCATAGTTGAGAGCGCTCTACAAGTTTTATTTTTTAATTGTATAATTTGTCACTTCATAACAAAAAAAGCCCTACTAAGCCCGATGGGCCCGGGCCTGGGCGGGCTTTCTCAGCGCCCAAGCCCGTAGGGCTTGGGCGGGCTCGGGCTTTAGAAATCCTGACCTGGGCGGGCCCCGGCTTTTGAGTTGGGCTTTGAATAGGGCTTGGGCGGGTCGGGTTTTGAATAGGGTTTTTGAGTCCGGCTTGGGCGGGCCGGGCTTCGAAAATGTCTGGCCCTACTCACCTCTATTTCTCATGCAATTCTAATACCATTCAGTAATAAGTCTAACACCGTTCTTGATTATAAAACTCCATAATGGACCGTTGAAGAAGTCTACGTTTGATGAAATTATTACCACCACAGCACCTGTTGCTTCTCGGCGTGGAGCCAAAGGATATGGCTCCTCTGGAAAATAAAAACGAGCAATTTTTACTATATTCAATATAAACTAAGTAAAATTTACTTAAACTTAAATATCTTCGCAGCTAATGTTAAAATTTCACCATCCTTCCTGCACGACCCTTGATTCAATAAATAAAACACACGCACAAACTTAATCCAAATATTTAATCTAATAACTGAAATAAATGTCCTCAAAAATGTTAATATTTGTTACATAAAATGTCTCCTATATTGAACTGTACCTGAAGAACATGCTTGCATTAGTTGGTGGGCGAGCTCCTTGTTGGAGCTACTAGTGGAAGAAACTTTTCTCTCTTGGTCGAGTTACTTTCACTTTCCGCTGTAAGACACAATGTTGCAGTAAGACGGAATATGTAACTTGAAAAGAAAGAAAAAATAATAATGAAAATCATAACTAAAATCTAAAATAATTAATGAACTAAGCATACCAAGCTTAATTTTGCAAATATTTTGCAATGAAACATGCGTATTTTCATATGTACATATATTTCATGTAACCTACACACTTACCAGAAAATAAAACCTTCATTTATCATCCTATCTTTGGTGCTGTTGTTACAATTTATTGATATCAATCTCTATCCTGTATGACCCTTCATCACACAAACACACACACACACACACACACACTTTTGCAAGTATTTATTGCAATATTGAAAATAATCTCCTCTCAAATGTGAATATTTTCTTTGCAAATTGCACGTTGCATTTAACTTGATATTAGTAGTAGTGAATAACGTGCATGGCTTACATTAGTTAATGAGCAAGCTCCTTGTAGCAGCAGCTGCTCGGAGAGAAAACTTTTTCTCCTGGTGGAGCTTTTATTTCACTGGTCTCCCTTCCGCACGCTAGGGTGCGGAAGCACCTCGCTAGTAGAAGAAACTGCTAGTAGAAGAAACTTTTTTTTCATTTTAATATTTTGTAAACTTTCTCTCTTTCACTTTCTCTCTTTCACTGGTCGCACTTCCGCTCCAGCGGAGCGGAAGTGCGACCATAAGATCAACAGATATCTTTTTGAGAGTATTATCTTGCAACCTACCAAAAATCAGTTCAAAATTCAACTCCCCACCAGAGATATTTAACTCAGAATTTGTGCAAACTATGTCTGGACACCTTTTGTATATGTATGTAATAACATGTAAAGTTTCGATATTAATTGTACCGTCGTCAGGAGTTGCTGGATTTTTAAATAGCGTACATTTTGAAAACCTTAGAACCTTGTGCGAAACATAGATTTTCCAATTTTTGAAATTCTAGCGTAAAAAATGGCGTAAAGTGGCACTTCCGTATCAAATTTTAAAATTCGAAACACCCGTGTACAAATTGATGGCGGAAGAAATTCTTCACTTGGATGAAATTTAGAGCATACTTGTACCTATAATTTTCACCACCAGTCATAATTTAGGGGATTAAGGTCTGCAGATACTGAGCACCGTTCTACCGATGAAAAAAAGTCATGAAAATTCGTCTGAAGCCAGTTTTGGACAATTTTGCACCTTGCGCAGGAACAGGGTCTTGTTGAAAGGTCCAATGTCGATTTTCGGAGGGTCCAGGGTTCAGGTTATTAACGTTTGGCTTTAGGACACTCTGAAAATAATTCTTGGCTTCAACTTGTACCCTTTGCGGTAAAAAACAGAGATTTCATTTCTCCAGCCAACTTGCTCCCATGCACACCACGGTGATGACTTCGTATTGACTTCCGCATACTTAAACGGATGTCAGACTTCTGTACAACAAATATCTGGCCTTTTTTTCTATTAATTTTTTTGCCAACGGTGAAAAGTCTGAAATACTTTTTGCACGAAAATTGGCGCGTACCACGATCAACCTGTAGCCGTCACGAGTTATGTTTTGTTCTAATTGCCCGTGGACGAAATCTTGACAAAGAAGTTATGATTTCTAAACAATATTAATACCTTGTTAATCCATAAAAATTTCGAACAGATAGCTCTAATACTTTGGGATTTATTACCGGAAATGCATTCACGAGAACTTATGACCCCACTATGTATGTATATCATTGAGGTAGCTTTAATTGGACATTATCTTATTATTTTAATAGCGGATACCTACGTACGCGCCTTATGCTGTCCATTTTAACTTGAAGTTGTATTCGGTTATTCACAAGTAATCGAGTTTCCTCAAAACTTTATTTTCGGCTAAATTATGACGATCACTCTAGTACAAAATGATTACGAGGAATATTGACATAGTTCTCGTTTGACACACGTTCCTAAAAAATCCATAGCACTTGGTTACAAAAATATTCAAACTTATATCAAGTATCTATTCCATAATTTAAAGGATATTAGTGTAGGTAGGTGCATGAGTTTTTGTACAGCGTATTTGCTCAAACATTTGATCAATATATCACCCAGTTCGTAACGATTATAGAGTTTTACTGCTGACGACATTATCGGCACACAGTTTTTCCTCTAGTTGAAAAATGTTCCATACGAGATAGATATTTGTAGAAACGTAGCCCATAAGTACAATTCCGTAGTGTGGATGACAGCCTTCTTGTTTGACAGAAGAGTTACAAGGATTCATATTTTTTTAAAAGCACACGTTTAAACTCTAGGGATTTTTGCCCTTGATGGTTCCTTATACACTGATTTTTCGACATTCTGTTGATTTTGTAGATAATCGTTTCGTATCACAACTAACCCGCGTATAAATTTTTTTGGCCAAACTATATCAGTAATTTCACACTGATTTATTCATTATAGACCTACATCAAAACAAGCTAATTTTGTATATGTTCTAAACTCTTTATACCATGGTGTGTACAAACGGTAGAACATCCTTTATCGCGAGGATCAACGGTGCTTTATCAGCATAATATTACCTCTTTATTATAAAATTCAGTTGACTCAATCAACCCAAAAAATCTTTGAAACTTATAAATGTTGACATACAAAAAGTAATCCTATTTCGATAAACTATCCCAACAGAATGCCTTTCCTAAATCGTGGTCGTCACCCCCTGTCAATTTTGTTATATATCCTCTTTGCGAATTCAGTGGCAGGACATAATGTGGAATCTAATCAGATCACTATTCCCAGGAAATTTATCGAATATCTTCAGCCATTTGAAAACTGTACGACAATGATTTACACGCCAACAAATTTTTCTTTGATCTCCTTTACTACTTTGACAGTTGGACCAATTGTCTTACTTAACTACGACATGTATAGAAGTGCGAGGACCACAGGAAAAATATTTGACAAATTTTCCCTCAAGCAAAGACGCAACCCTGCCCTTCATTGCTGGGCAACGTTTGCTATTCTACCCGAACAAAGTGGTTTGCTCGGAAGCATAAGGCCATTCATTGTACTAAATTGCTTCGTTGATTCGACTTGGTCGGCACAGTATTTCATTTGGGTTACGACAAATCCGAGCGGTGTTCATGAGTATTTGAATAATGAAATCGTCTTAGATAATTTAGGGTTACGAGACGTTCTAATAGTAGATGTGAAAAATCTAATGGAGCAAAGTCCCCTACTACGGATGAACTATCATAACTTGTATAACATTGAGAAACCGCCCATGGGAATTGAAAACTCTAAACCCTGGTACACAATTGATTGCTTGCTGCTGAATCGTTTTATGGAATTGGGCATAATAAGCCCAATGCCCAAAGCCCAAAGCCCTTGGCTTTGTCTGGGGAAATATTGAGGCACAATTTCTTGCTGAGAGTTACTTGGTGGATTCATAAATTGACGGTTTGGGTTACTTGGTTTATTAACAAATTGTTTACGTGCATATTAAAAATAGGTTACTTCTTGCTTTGCCTAATACAAACCATTAGTTTAAAATGTTGCAAGAAATAAAATAATCAGTACACTAGAATTGCGTTTTCCAATTTTTGATATCCAATCTACGCAAGATCGGATGGGCTTAGATCGGATGGGCTTAGAAATAATAAAAAATGGATATCCAGCTCACGTCCATATGTAATTCAGTATGGTCATCAATTTTAATATGCAGTTGGATCGGCTCATGGATAATTAAAAATCCAACTCAGCTTCAAGTCGTACGCAAGGAATATGTACATCTTATGTAGCATCATATCCGAAGGTGTGGAAAGTGGGAAATTTGATACCTACGAAACATGCAATGACCCTCCTCCACAAATTGCTGGCCAACCGAAGCTCAACAACCACCTTGCCGTTTCCTAATTCGATGATTGGAAGCGGACGACGGGACTTTGCGTCTACACAGCGGAAGCACACCTGTTCAAAAATTGATTTTTCATTCAAATGTCAAACACTCCTATTTCTGACTAAAGATTTTCATTCACATTCAGTCATTTTCCTTCAAATTCATTTCATTTCACTTCATCTGACTTCAGTTCTTACTGCTGCATGTGTTAAACATAGTTCCATTTGCAAGCGTCATGCTAATTATATTTGTGATCGATTGACGCTAGTTTGGCCAAAGTCTGTGAGCATATGTTGGGAGACCTCCATTGTGAGCATGCATATATGTAAATATGTACATAATAGCCTATATCGGGTTCATCAAACCCTTTATTTATTTCCCTAAAGCATTACTGTTCGTAACACAATTGTACACGGACACCAACACCAAACAACAACATACAACATACACCAAAAACTGAACCAAAAAACAAAAATTCGCTTTCAATGACAAATAGATCTGCATGTGTATAACTTACGAATGCACCTGGAGTCAAGGGTATCATGTATTTTTGACAATATTCATCTTCGCCTGTTTCACGCTTAACCCGTTAGGGACCAACTACACATATTTGTGTAGTTTTTTGCTTTCCCTTGGGGACCAAGTACACAAATATGTGTACTTTTTTGCTTTCCGTTAAGGACCAAGTACACACATTTGTGTACTATTTTGTAGTTACGTTGGGGACCAACTACACATATTTGTGTAGTTTTTTTCTTTCCGTAGAGGACCAAGTACACATATTTGTGTACTATTTCCCCGTTACGTTGGGGACCAACTACACACATTTGTGTACTGCGGAAAAATTTTCAAGACCAAATACACACATGCATACAAGTCAAAATTTTATTTTACAAAATTTTAACACGAACCATTTATTTATGCACATTACCAAAAACTATATATCTGCAAAAACTACAACTGTAGTTCGCTGCAATGCATTGTAAGACTAATTTTAAATTGTTCACGCTCAGAAATAAGCGTATTTTGGAGTTTTCCAGAATAGACATGTTTTCGCCCGTGGCGGAATTTAAAATAAACTTAATTTTTAAAGAAGCAAAAAACGATAATTTTTTGAAAATTAAAAGTTTTTTTAAATTGATTTTTTATCCCGAGTCAGGGCTTATGTACCCGTCATGTCCGTCTGTCTGTCTGTCTGGTTTGCGATAACTGCCGTAAAACTAATCCTATCGACTTGAAATTTTGCACACATATAGTATGGGTCAAATGAGGAGTTGAGTTCGAAGATGGGTGAAATAGGTCAAGTGGTTGACCGGTGGGGGTCATCGGAGTGGGTGGGGTATTACGCACCAAAATTTCAAAATTGTGTTAGAAAGCTGAAATTTGGCATAGAGGTTGCTAATGGTTTATAATGAAGGAATACAAAGTAAAATTTCAAAAATTTTCGTCTGGAGGGACCCGAGGGG